GTGCCGCAGGGCCTCGAAGTGCGCCTCAAGGCGCAGCTCCACGAAGAAGTAGTCCACCACAGCCTTGTTCACCAAGGAGATGCTGGCGGGAGGGGCCTGGAGTCAGGGGTGCTGGGTACCACGGGCTGGGCGGGGATGCGCGGCTGGGACACGGGCAGGGACACAGGCAGGAACTCACTGGGCGGCCAGAGGGGCTGTGATCGAGTGTTTCATAAGCACTGGCAGCGGCAGCAGCTCACTCAGCGGCACCGCAGTCTCATCCGCATCTGACTGGCCCCGGGAGTCCTCAGGGAGGGCAAAGGCCCGTGGGAGCCCATGGTGAAGGAGGCGGGCGATGGGAGGCTCCGCTGCACGACAAGATGGCCCAGGTCGCACTTGCGGGACACACTGGCCAGCCTCCGCCAACCTGCCATGGCCAGCCCACTCACACATGGCCTCGTAGCTGTCTGGGTACTGTTCCAGGCGGTACTGCCCTGCCAGGCCTGCCAGGTAGGCCTCCTCCCGGGCCTGGGCCGCTGCAGCTGCCTCCTCCTCCTCCTCCAAGCCTGGGCTGCTCTGGGTGGCCACGCTTCCCTAAAACAGCCAGTATCAATGCCCTGCCCTTCACCTCAGTGGGAGGGCGGGCAGGTGGCCACATGTGCCTGACCCTGCAGGACAGACCCTTACCAGCCCTGAACCACAAAGTGGGCGCCCCCTGACCCCCAACTCTCGACCTTGGCTGCCCTGACCTGGGACTTGGAAGGCCAACTTGGAGAGAGGTCCTCGCTGTCCCCATTCCTTCCTGGGCCCGAGTAGCACAAATGAGACAGGAAAGGATGTCAGGGCCAGTGCCCACTGTGGGGCAGCACTGCCCCGAGTCCCAGGACAGCATACTTCTCACCCTCCTCCCTCCCCCTCGGACCCACAGATATCACCAGTGACAAAACAGCTTTGGGGTCCCAATGACCTGGCTCCTCAGGGATGCTGTCTCCCAGAGCACCGGGTGCAGCCACAGCAGACGGTGAGGCCTGGGGGCCACTGTCCTCCTTGGGGCCGGAGCCAGATACTTGAGTGCAGGAGCCATCTGAAGCCAGTTCTGTGGGCAGCCCCGGCACACTGTCCCTGGCAGGGCTCTGTGCTCCTAGGCTGACGCCTAACAGGGACAAGTGATCAGGGGAGTGCTGACGGGGCCTGGCCTCAGCAGGCTGGGCTTCCCCTGAGAGCAACCCCAGCATCATGTGGGACTGAGACACGTGTCCGTGGACGTTCCACCGTGGCCGGATGGGGACCTCGTCCCACACATTCTCCCCGACCCTGATGCTGGCATCAGACACATGTCCATGGACATTCCACCGTGGCCGGGTGGGGACCTCGTCCCACACGTTCTCTCCGATCCTGATGCTGGCGTCAGACACGTGTCCATGGACATTCCACCGTGGCCGAGTGGGGACCTCGTCCCACACGTTCTCCCCGACCTTGATGCTGGCGTCAGACACGTGTCCGTGGACATTCCACCGTGGCCGGGAACTGGCCATCCTGGAAGCATAACCCCCTGAGGGAACAGCACCCTCTGACATGTGCCCCATGGCCTGGCTGCTTCCCTCCTGGGGGCAGTTGTTACTGGGTGAGTGTGGGTAAGGCAGAGCCACCTGCTCATCCGGGACGCATGTGTCCAGCTGCACGTGCGTGTCCCCGCACAGCTGCAATCCCTCACAACCCAATCTACCTCCTACAGTCTGGAGGGACCCTGGGGAGGCCGAAGGGACCACAGCTGGCCTCAGGACGGTCCTGAAATCGTACTCCTGTGGTCCTGAGGGACCGGTGCCCACTGCTGTGGATGGAACCGAGGAAGGCAGGTCTGAGCCGATGGTCTGCAGAGCCTCCAGCACGGCAGCTGCAGCAGTGTGTGCAGGCTGCTCGGCCCCTTGGCCAGGGGGCAGGAAGTCTTGGAGGCTGAGATCTGCAGAGAACGGCCCTGGCACCCTCGCCTGCCCCAGGCCGCAGGCCCCTCCTGGAGCATGCTCTAGGGCTTGTGGTGTCGGCCTGCTCGCGCCGTCCTGGGCAGCCACACGCTGCTCTGCACACCCAGGGTCACAGCTGCTGCCTCCATCAGGATGCTCGGGGCCTAGAGATGAGGCCTGAAACACAAGTGCATGTTGGTCTCTCCAGTTATCTGGCTCTGTCCCCAAGTTCAGTTTTGCAACCAGCACTGAAACCCATAAAGTGGGGGGCTCTGAGGACACAGGCCCGGTGCCCACTGTACTCCCTGGGGAGCGCAGGCCTGGGCACCCAGGCTCAGTCCTGTTACCCACCCTGGACCCCGCCCTGGCCCCTCACCTGGGAGTGTGCCCTCGGGCGGATGGCTGTCGGCTCCAGGGACTTCCCCTCGGACACGTCTATCAGCATCGCCTGGAGTTCAGTCAGTAGGATGTGGGGTCAAGGTTGGGCGGCAAGGAGCAGAGCTGGCACTCAGCCCCATGCAATGCAACCCACAGCCGCCGGTGGCCACGGTCTACCACCCATGGCAGCACCGTGTGGCCCGAGGTGAGCACGGCCTCTCCCCAGCACGCCCGCTCTGAGCACCTGAGGAGGGCACACAGGTCCCAGGCAGCTTCAGGGGGTCCCGAGTCCCCAGAGCCCACGGGACGCGCTGGGCCCCCAGGCCGCAGTGGCACCTGCACGCGCTCCTGGTCCTCCAAGAGGAAACGAAGCCGGGCGCTCGCCAGCCTGCGCCTCTGCGTCTTCCACAGTGCCTTCTGCTCCCGCCGGGCCGCCTCCGCAGACAGCTTGCTGTAATGGTCCACCAGCGCCTGCCTGCAGCCATACCCACAGAGGACTGGTTACCAGGCACCCCACGATGTCCAGCTGGCTCCCTGCAAACTGGGATGGGTCCCCATGGTGGAGCCCAGGCGGCAGTCTGCAGAGCCCAGCACCCTGCCTAGGCTACCAGCTGGTCCCTCTGGGCCCCTACAGCTCCTGCAGAGGCCTCGACCCACCAGTCATTCTGCCCAGCAGACTGGGAGCCTGGGGGCAGGTGCCAGCCAGGGCTTGGCAGATACCAGAGTGAGCCCTGGGCAGCTAGAGGCAAAGGGACAGGCAGGGGATGGCGAGGCCCCCCAGCGGCCTTGCTCCTTGAACCGCAGACGGCATCGTCCTGTTTTAGGGCAGAGCCCTGGAGCCCAGCGCAGAGAGCACAGAGCACAGCATGTACGTTCTACTCGCCTGGGTTAATTCGAAGCCAGCCCCGGAGGCCGCCCCGAGGCTGCGATCCTCTCACAGGCAGGGAGCTGGGTTCAAACCAGACTGGATGTTTCCAGTTTGGCTGCCACGGGCCAGGGCCACAGCCTCCCTAGCCCATTTCCTCCACATGTGAAAAGGACGATAACCCCCACCCAAACGCGCACGCTGATGTGTGTGCAGATTTACACATGTGGATATCTGTACAAAGATAGCACGAAGCACACACGGTCACACACACTGACATGTTCACACATCGCTGGCTCCAGGCCTCAGCTCCATAAACAGTATCTAGTCGGTCGGGACAACATGCCCAAGGCCATGAGCAGGAAGGGACAGCCCTTCCCACAAAGGCCCCCTCAAGACACGAGCCCTGCTCCCCACTTGAGGGAGATACAGGGGAGGGCGGGCCAAGCACAACCCCATAATAAGACCAACTGTCAGCTGCTGGGCTGGGCAAACACCCCGTGTCCGTCAGGCTCACGACAGGTTTAGAATGAAATGAACAGGAGCTGCTTAGCTTAAAAAGAGAACAACAAGGTGGGACAAGCAGACACTGGGTGGACCTGTCTGGACTTCAGTCCACACGAACCAGCCACGAGCAGACATTCTGCAGGCGGCTAAGGGCACCTGAACACATCAACATCCAAAAGCACGGAGTCGAGAAGGCTACGTGAACATTTTGAAAGTAAAAAGTAAAAGGACCGTCACTAACGTCAAACCAGTTACGGCGCCCGTGTGACGGCCCTGCCCCAGAGGGTCAACCTCGAATGACCGCTCCACCCACGGCCGCCCTACCTCGCCTTCCGCTCCAGCTGCTCCTCCAGGGCCTTCAGCCTCTGCTCCCTGTCGCGCAGCTCACGGGCATAGCTGAAGTCGTCGGCCAGCTCCTCCTGCCTGGCTGCCCGGCGTCGCTGCACGACACGCCCACACCAGCCACACTGGTTAAACCCGACCTGGCGAGCCTGCCCCCGCCTGGGCCCGCAGCCCACCCACCTCCTGCTCCTTCACGAACTGCTCCTTCAGCCTCTGGAACTGCTCTCGCTTCCGGGCGTCCGAGGCCATCCGTTCAGACATTTGCCGATCTAGTGGAGACAGACGGGCGCCATCGAGAGGGGCCCCCGACTGGCCACCCCCAGAACCAGAAGGAGGACCCGAGCCACACGCACCGCTCAACGCGCTCAGGACTCTGGACGCAGCTTCGCGGGCCTGCACAATTAACTCTTGTTTTGCAATTTCCATTCGTAACTCCTGAAAAAGATCATCAGTGACCCATGCATTCTAACTGCATCCCCTCCCTTGGGGTGGAGGGTGGCCTGGGAAGGGGCTGCTCAGACCCCAGACGGTCTCCTCCGGGGACAGAGCCAAGCTCTGAGGGCAAGTAGCCACCCTCACAGCGACAAGGCTCCAAGACGTCAGCATGCTCCTGAGGAGCCGTCCGGGGCCAGACCCCAGGTCCCCATGCATGGGCCCTGCAGGGGACCCTGGGGGCTCAGGGCCTTCCCTGGGAAGGTGGAGCCCAGCCACGCCGAGGAAAAGAGGACAAAGCCCCTGGCCAGGGCATTCCCACCAGGCACACCCCAGGACAGGACCGGGCAGCACCACCCCCCATGCCCCACACCCAGTGCCCCAGAGGAGAGGGAGGCAGGTGGGGAGACCCAGCCGCGGGCTTCGCACCTTCTCCTCCTTGCTGACGGAGCTGTGGCGAGCCACCCTCTCCATCCGCCCTGCGTAAGTAGCACAGTCCTTCTCGATCTCCTTCAACTCCTCCAGGGAGAAAATCACCGAGATCCGGGGCACAGGGACGTCGGACCAGCAGAGGTAGTGCTGCCGGGGGAGGGAGTGGGGGGTGGCGCGTGAGCCAGTGACACGTGTGCCCCGTCCACACTGTGTCCATGCTCCCGGTGACCCATGTGGACCATTCACTTCTCAACCAGAGGGCATGACATCCTCCACGGCTCTGAGAGCACCAGATAGGCTGCCTGGGGTCTGTGCCCAGGCCAAGGCTCCCTGCAGCTGCTACCAGGTCCGACCCCACGAGGGGCTTCAGAAGCTGTGAAGACCTGGAGATCTGCAGAGCCCGCCTCGCTGGAGGAGTGCCACTCACTGACATCAGCCAGATCAGCCAGATGAGACAGACCGGACGCCTGCTCCACGCCACCCTGGGAGCCCTGCCCACTGGAATGCTCGCAGCCAGTCTTCAGGAAACCCTCACCTGCACAGGCCCTGTGCCTGTCCTGGCGGCTCCAGGCTACTTCCAGCCCGGCACTAGAGGGGTCCGCTGGCCACAGCTGAGGCTGACCCTGCCAGGCCCTGCACTCAGCTGGCCAACTGGGCCCCTGGTCCAGACTCCACCCACTGCTGCTGCTGCCTGGAGCCTCCAGGCCCACACAGCTAGCCTGCCTGACTCCCTGCTTAGACATCGGCCAGCACCTTGCAAAGGCTGCCCGTCTGTCCACCCAAGTCTTGGCCATGTGGATGTTGGCAGAGGCCCCCATTCCAGAGCACAGCCAGTCCCCCAAGCCGGGGGACACAACCACTTACACCATCCTGCCCAATGGGACAAGGGGCATGCTGCCCCTGGGGAACAACTTCGCTCTTCCTGCCACCGCGGAATAGGGGCCCGGAATGGGGACCCTTCACCTCTCTCAGGTCACCACAACCCTGCTCCAGCGACACAGCCAGATCTTGGCTCCCAAGAGCTGGGGACGAGGGTCCCTCCTCACCTGCGGGCAGCAGAGCTTCAGCAGGTTGATGGTCTTCCCACAGACGTACACGTCATGTGCGATGTGCTTCAAGAACGCGGGCACGCAGTCCTCCACCTCCTTGGAGATGAGCACGTAGCCATGCGTCCAGTAAGACTTGTCTAAAGATAGGACAGGACACGTGGCTGGCCTGCACCCACTGACTGCCCTGACCCACCTGATGGCGTGGAGGCCCACGCAGCCCAACAGCCAGCCGCCACCTACCTCTGAAGCCCAGGTACTCATGGTTCACTTGGATCATGAACTCGCCGTAAACGTCTCTGAAGACCCCGCTGTACACCCAGTCATGGATGAACCTGCCGGGTGGACGGGCCAGCGGTGAGGCAGGCACGGAGAGTGTCGAGTAGGCGTGGCAGCCACGGGGTGCAGTTGTCTGCCCAGGGAGCCCGCCAACCCTGCCTTCCCCTCCCCATCTGTGATCCCTGCCCACAGCGGGTGTCTGACCAAGCAGATGCTCAAAACATCTGCTTGGACTGTGTATGGTGCCCCCAGGTCAAGCAGCCCCACCCCACCCCGCCCCCAGGCCCCACCGTGTGTAGGGCTCGCAGCTGGTCTTCAGCAGGGACAGCAGCACCGGGTAGTGCTCGTTGCTGCAATTGTCCAGGGCCTCCTGGTACAGGTAGGAGAGCAGCTTCACCCCCTAGGGACAGCAAGGGGAAGGGCTTGACACACGCGCCCTGCCCTGTGCACACAAAGAAGCCCCACCCCGCAGCCACACGCAGCCTCACTCCCTTTCCCGGAGCCTGGCGGGCCAACACAGCAAGAATGCACAACTCACGGTGGGGAACGCGGCCCTGGGCTCTCCGCAGGTGCCTATACCACAGAGCTCGGCCAAGTACCTAGACGGAAACCAGGTGAGAGCAGGTGCGCAGGGGCTCAGAGGCCCCAGGCCTGGGTGAGAGCAGGTGCACAGAATGTGTCTCAGGCCCTTCCCTATCTTCGTGCTTTGGCTTTTTAAAAGCATCCGCACCTCAAAGACCTCAGACTGCAGCTTCCTGCTGGACCCCGCCCCAGCTTCTTCCCAGGCTCAGGCAAGACTCCTGAGTACAGGACGCTGGGCCCCCACGGCCTTACCCAGGTCGCCACCTCCTCTTACTCCACTGCAGTCTGTGCTGCGCACAGCAGCACTCTCGTGGGGGGGGGCGTGAGCTGGGGCCTCCACACTCCTACCCTCTACCTGTAAAGCCTCTTCCCCGCCACCTGAACTCGCCTCCCCAGGGCCCACACCTCACTGTCTCTTACCTAGACACACCTGCCGACATCTCACATTTGGTCTGGGTTAGCTAAACAGCTCCTGCGTGCCAGGGGCCCGGTCTGTGGGGACCCTGTGTGTCCTTCAGGCAGGAGCCCCACCCTGGATGGGGCCCGCCATGGCATCCAGCACCTGGTGAGCTCAGCTGGAGCAGGAGCCGTCCTCACAGTCCCTGCCCCCCATCCCCCACACCGGCCACCACATGCGGCTCACCTGAGCTGCCGGCCCAGCTTCCTGAAGAGAAAGGCGATGGCAATGAGGCTCAGGGTGGGCGGGGTGGAGAGGACACAGGCCCGGTAATACTGCAGGTACCGCCGCAGGCCGCTGGTGAAGGCCTGTGGGCCGGCGGAGGGGGTGCTCTGGGATAAGGGGCCGGGCGGGGCACCACCCCCACCCTGGAGCCACATTTCTGGGTCACAGCCCGGCCCAGCTGAGAACCAGGACCTCAGGTGCACTGCACACCTGGCCTCTGCAGCCAGCGGCAGACGCCCCAGGAAATAAACCTGGGGATCCCCGGCGGGGTCTAGAAGGGGTGGCCAGGCACTGTGCAGATGCCAACTCCGATGGAGTCTCTGGCTGCTCAGGGCACTGGGGCCTCAGTGACATGTGTCCTGGGTGGCCCCAGCTCAGCTCACGGCTGGTGGGCAGGAAATGCTCCAAACCACTAGCAAGGAGACAGCCGACCTGCTGCGTGACCCACGGACAGTCCCGCCCTCGTCAGCTCCCCTCTGCCTGCCCGGCCCACTCCGACCCATTTGCCATGGACCCCGCCTACACCATCTAAAACCGGAACCTCATCGTGTCGCCCCGACCACCGAGCTGAGTGCCACAGTGTGAAGGAACCCGCGCGCCCCGCCTCCTGGCGTCGACCAGCTGGTGCTCCCAAAGCACCCCGCTCAGCCTGCATGGCCCCGCTGTCCCAGGGGACTGTGCAGGGCCAGCTGTAAGGCTGCGAGGAAGACTGGGCTCCCCGGCTCCCAGAGCTCCGACGCGCCAAGTAAGGGAGGTCCACCCTGTCGGTCGCCATGCAGCTTGCTGGGGACCCGGTGGGGAACAACTGCGTGGGCCCACTCCACACCGCCTGGCTCTTCCCCCGGGCCCCACAAATGTCGCCACCCCCGCCTCCCACCGTCCCACAGCCCAAACGTGTCTGCCCAGATTTCCAGTGACAATGAAGTAAAACATGCCGTCCTCAAAGGATGACCTCCGGGCTTTACAGGTTACAAGGAAAGTGAGGTCTGCAGGTGTCCTGCGGAGGGACCCCTGAGGAGGCCGGGCCTACCTGGAACACGAGGCCCTCGCTGCACGAGGAGTCCAGCACGGGCTGCAGGGAGAAGTGGCTCAGGCGTGCGTAGTGGGTCCCGCACTCGGCCACCTCCGAGAGGAGGCTGCTGATGCTGTCGGGGGACGTCCCCGACACGTGGACGCCCTGCTTCACCATGAAGGCCTGAGTCAGCTGCACAGGGCAGGGAAGAGGTCGCTGAGGCCACAGGCCTCCAGAGCCCCGCCTGCTGCATGCGCCCAACCACGTCACCGCCCGGGGCCCCTAAGACAGAGTCCCGACCCAAGACACAGACAGGAAGTCCCAACAACAGAAAGGAGATGGCCGCAAAGCATACTCCGCTGTCCCACCGTAGTAATAAAAACATACAGAAACGAGGTGTAACTTTTCACTGACCACACTGAGCACACGTTTAAAGTGGCGGGCGAGCCATCTGTGGGAAAGAGCGCAGGACAACAGGGTGCCTTCCACGCGACACAAGGAGGCCAGAGGTGCGCACGGAACAACCGTCCTGGACACAGAGGCTTTAACAAAGTGCCCCTGGATCTGATAGCCTGACACCTGGGATGTCCCCGGAGGAAATAACAAACAATGAACACAATACCTGCCACAGCATGTTCCCACAATATGGTTTACAACCAGGAAGGCTGACAACCAAAACGTAGCGGACACAGTGGAAGCAGTGTCAACCGGGAAATCTGCAGCCTTAAGTGCCTATGTTAAAAAGGTCTCAAACCAATAACTGCACTGCAAAAATAAAAAAATTTAAAAAATTTAAAAGAAAAAAAAACCACTGTACACCTTAAGGAATTATTAAAAAGAAGTGAACTAAACGCAAAGCAGAAAAAAGGGAATAACAAAAATGAGAGCAGAGATAAATAAAGCAGAGAGTAGAAACAACGAAAAGGATCGTGAAACCAAAAGTTCGTTCTTTGAAAAGATCAACAAAATTGACACTTCCAGCATAACTCAAAAAAAAAAGGCTCCGAAATGAAAGTGGGACATCACTAGTGATTTTACAGAAATGAAAAAGGATCAAAGAAAATACCAAACCTAAATAAAACAAATTCCTGAAAAACACAAAGTTGCAAAACTGTCTCAAGAAGAAACAGAAAATCTAAAAAGACCTTAGAACAAGGACATTGAATCGAACACCAAAACTCTCCTATAATGTAAGTGACTGACAATAAGCTTTTCACTGACAAGTTACCCACTTCAAAGGCATCCGTCTGGAACGCACATATCCCAGCTACGTGCTTCCTTCTCCTTTCCGTCTATCCACATGGTTATTATTTACCACGCTGACAGAATGAAGGGGCGGAAAAACCATGATTACCTCGAGTGGACCCAGTGGACCGGGAGAAGGAGGGAACCCGCTCAGCACGACAAACGCCGCGTACGGAACCCACGGCTAACGTCGGTCGGTGGGGACAGACTGGGAGCTCTCTCCCCCAGGATCGGAGGCCAGACCGGGACGCCTGCTCGCGCCCTCGCTGCCCAAGCAGGACTGGAAGTTCCAGTCAGAGCGACTGGCAAGAAACAAAAGGCATCGGCTTGGAAAGGAAGTAAAGCTACCTCCGTTCGCAGATGGCACCATCTTACATACAGAGGCCACTTGACAGTCCGTGAAAAACCGTCACGGCCAACAAATGGATTCAGCAGAGTTGCAGCCTTAAAATCGACACACAAAAATCTGTTGTGTTTTTACATACTAGCAACAAAAAATCTGAAAAAGAAATTAAGAATACAATTCTAATTACAACAGCAACATAAGAATAAGATATTTAAGAGATGAATTTAAAGAAGAGGAGGAAAGGCCTGTTGCAGTGAAACTGTGAAACGTTGCCGAAACAGACTGAGATCCCCAACACCGTTAGGATGACAGTGCTCCCGAGCGACCTGCGGCCTCAGTGCAGCCCCCATCAACATTCCAACGGTGGCTTTGCAGAGACAGGGAAACCTGTTCTGGAGTTCACATGGAAATGCAAAAGGACCTTAATAACCAAAACGATCTTGAAAAAGAAGAAAAAAGTTGGAGGACTCATACTTCCTGAGTCCAAAACTTACTACCAAGCTACAGTCATCAAAACAAGTGTGGTCCTGTCATGAGGGCAAATAGACAGATGCAACGAAACAGAACCCAGAAACAAACCCTCACGGACGTGACCCATTAGCTTCTGACAAGGTACCAAGACCATCTGATGGGAAAAGTACAAATGGTGCTGGGAAAGCTGAACTTCTCCATGCAAAAGAATGAAGTTGAATCCTTTCCTTACACCAGATGCCGAAGTAAACTCAAAACAGATCAACAGCTAAACTTAAGAGATGTCCCTGGAAGTGAGAAGAGCCGGCGCAGTCACCTGCCTGCAAGGCCGGTCTGCGCACGATCCCGGCCCAGGACACTGGCAGGGGCAGGGCATGGAGACGGCGGGCCTGATGCTAGTGCTTCACCAGCGATAAGCAGCTTGCTTTTGTTCAGTTTGTAGAAGGACGTTAAAAAATTTTAGAACTGAGGGAAGAGGGCATCGCTGGGAAGGCCTCGCTGCACCGGCCATGCTCCCTGCGCCGCGCAGTGCTCCACCCCGTGTGCTGCCCAGTGTCGCCGTCAAGCCCGCGCTGGCACGGCGACCGCACATGAGCGCCCTCACCTGGCAGAGGGGGAACGTGGTAGACACGACCCCGATCAGGACGTTCAGGGCATCCTTCACCAGCTCGTGCTCCTTCACCAGGACGGGCCGCGCGGCCTGCAGGAGGCCCCCGCCGAGCACCTGCAGCTCCCCTTGGCGGAGCCTGCAGAACCTGTCGAAGGCATCCCTTCCCGCCTCAGTGAGGTAGGGCTCCTCTCTGTGGCCTGGGGGGCTGTGAGAGACAGAGCCACAGGCACCTTAGCTATACGAACAAGGCAGGAGAACATGATTCATAACAATAAGACGTCTAAGAAATACAGATTGGGGTGAATCCCGACCAATCAGCAGCCTCTCAGTCTGGCAGACTCAGCGCTGGCTACGATCCATCCCATTAGGACAACTCCGTGCAGAAACCAGGGAGCAGTGGGACCCACGAGCGCACACTGGGGTCTTGGGGACAGGGATGGCTGCCCACAGAGTATTTTAACATTAAAAACAAGCACGAAGTTTGCACACCCATGTTCACAGCAGCGGGATCCCATCGATGGAGGGGTGGGTCAGGAAACGTGGTCCACCCACACAATGGGGTGTCACTCAGCCTTAGAAAGGACACCTTGACACCTGCTACAAAGATGGACCTTGAGGACATTACGCCAGTCACAGAAGTACAAGTACTATATGATCACACTTATACAAAATCCCAGCAAGGCAGATTCAGAGGCAGAGAGGAGGAAGGCGGGTGCCAGGAGCCGGAAGAGGGGTTGGGGAGCGAGTTAGTGTCTAATGGGGACAAGGTTTCATTTGGGACAATGAAAAAGTTCCGGAGATGGTGGTGGTGACAGCTGGACAACAATGTGAATGCACAAATGCCACTGAACCGTACACCTAAAAATGGTTAAAGTGGTACATTTCGTTAGTATATTTTACCCGCCATGACTCGGAGCCAAGGGAGAAAAGCCCATGAAAGAAAAGACTAAATTCGCCCTTGTCCCCGCAGAGAACTCAGCCCTTAACAAATCGCCTCCCCCAGGATAGGTGGCAGACACCAGGTGACAGCAGAAGGATCCTGCAGACCAGCCTGGGTCTTGGGGAGCAACACAGGGGAGGGGTCCTCCAGAGGGCTGAGGCAGAAGCAGAGTCTGCGATCCTGGGGCTGTGGGTGGGCCAGGAGCTCTGCTTCTGCCAGGAACACAGCCTCCTTCCCTGCCCACTGCCAGAGCTCATGGCAGCCAACTAGCTGGAAGCTGGGACTTAAATACTGAAACAGGTTCAAAAGATTCACTAAATAAACCTGGATTAAAGGCCTCAGGGGACAGGTGCAACGGGGTCAGTTTAGGAGCAGAAGGGGCAGAGGCCGCCCAGGCCCATGCTGCCAGGTACAAGGCCCCTCACAGGGAACACCACCATGGTGGGGACACGGACATTCAGTGCCGCAGCAGAGGCAGAGAGAGACCCCAGGAACAGTCAGGTCTTCTAAACAGTGACCTGGAAAACTAAGCCTAGAAAAGCAGTGTCAGCTGCTAATTCAAGGCCAAGAGGAGGCCCCAGCTTGGGGTGCGGTGTGTGCTACTCAGTGCAATCAGCGCCACTGTGAAACAGCTTGACTCTAAGCAACTAGGACGCCACAGCCTGGCCCTGTGCTGCTGCGCCATCCCAGTCCCGCAAGATGCCCCAGTCTGGCCCGAGACAGCTCCGCCCAGGCGAGACGACCCCACGGTCGTTAGTCCTGCTGGAAGGGGTGCTCCCCACACCAAATGGGAGCTGACTTATAGAGAGAGAAGTCCCTGCCCCTGGCCCCTGATTGGTCTGACTCCAAATCCTCAGTTTGATTGGCCCTAAAAGCACTGTCCTGATCAGTCAGAATGGAGCTGCTCTGACTGGTCAGTGGAGACGCTAACGAGCATATAGCTGTGAAGCTCCAACTGGACGGCGAAGCCTCAGTCCTACTGGTTAAAATACTAGTCCAGGGACTCCTTTATGCGGTGGCTCAGCCAGCAGAAACACAGTGCAGGCTTCATCCCTGAGGCGTGGATTGCATGAGAGGCCCCTGGTTCAGCAAAGAATGCTAGGTTCTTTGTAAATTTGTTCCAAATTGGACACGAGGAGGAGCCCTTCTTAACAGATACCTTCACTCTTGGGGTCAAAGTAGGAACTAATAAATGAAATACCACTAGCATATACTTACAAAACAAAGTGTAACTTGCTGGGCTAGTTTTTAGACATGTCAAGGGTTAGCAGAAAGCCAGATGGTTAATTCGCTCTGTACACAAAGGCAGGACTAGGACCTGAGAGGGTTACCGGGCAGAGAAGGTGCCTGGAGACAGCTACGGACACCGGCTGTGCTTAGGGAGGCGGGGAGCGAGCCGTGCCTGGAGGAACCCACGTGGGGGAAGATGACCACGCCAGGAAAGCTACCCCAGCAGGAGCACTGCCCACGCGCAATAGGAACTTAAGAACTGTGTCTCTGAGCACCTACTCACCCGCAGGAGCCCCTGCGGGAGGCAACACTGCATCAGAAGGCACTCAGCTCCCTGCTAACCCCAATTCCTCCACTCAGTGCTCCCCAAACTGGCAGTCCACAGAACTGCCAACACGAGATGTGACACGAGGGTGCATGACCAAACATTCGGGAAATCTATGTCCGCTATCCCCATTCCGGAAGATTGTGACAGATACAACACATTACGGACTCTGAGAGGTCCTGAGTGCAGAGGCCTCTGGACCGGGGGAGGCCCCGGGAGTGAGCAGCTAGCAGCAGTCAGGGGACACTGCTATGACGGGAACTTACCGGCCAGAAAGCGCCCCTCAGTCTTCCTAGATGCGAGGAACAGTGGGCATGAAGAAAGTTCCTTCGGCAACACCCCAAGCCCAGGGGCCCTCACGGTGAGGGTGTAACTCAGTTGCCCCCTGACTTTTTTGAAGGGTGATTTGCAGAAGTTCCTGGCACAGTGGGAGCCTCCGTGAAGCCTAGAAGTCCTTTCCCCCTGGGTCCCTCCCAGCGCCCAAAACAGAGACGACTTTGAGCACTACTTTGACCAAAACTTCCGGGCGCCTAATCCTGTCACCCCCGCTTCTACGAAGGACCGCCTGAGCTCTGAGGCGGGGCACGATCCTGGTCAGGGAGGAAGGCAGTGCATTCAAAGGCAAAGGTTCACGTACCAGCCGACCTGTTCCCAGCACCTCCGCTTACTAGCCTCATAGGTGAGCACAGCATCCCACAGGTCGATGTCGGGAGTCGTGCCCGGTTCAGACTGGGAGTCGGGAGTCAAGTTGGACGCTGACTGGAAGCCTTCATCCTCAGACTGATCCACGCTCCGAGGAACCTGGGCCAGAGCGAAGAGGAAAACAGCACGTACGTGTTTGGGTCTAAATCTCACCCGAGTGGGGTCAGAACTCCAGGGCTTTCCCACGTCTCTATTCGCTCACACGGAAAAGACCAAACAGAACACTTCTTGTTTTTCTTGAGTACACGTGTGCAACACGGCGTTTGCCTCCATTGAATCACTTAACGAATTAATCTACTAAGGTATCAATTTCCAATTTCATACAAGGCATAAGCCCCAACAGAACTTACAATGAGGTTTTTCAAGAAATGCCTCCAACCTGGATATTCCATTTGGGGGAACCCGGCAGTAAAATCATACTAGAGACAAAAATATTTAGACCAAGATGTTCGCTATAGCATTACTTATGTTGGGAAACAACCCAAATACCTCGTAGGAAGAGACTGACTGAGCAAGGACAGCACAACCTTTCAGCATTTATAAAACCATGAAATCACAGGATGAGTTACTTAACAATGCAGGGAAAAGTCCACGTTACAGGTGAAAAGGCACATAAAACCACATGTGTAACATGAACATTTTTTGCCACATGTGGCTACCGAACACTCAGGTAAAAGATGAAAAGCAGCTCGTTGCTCTGGCCGACAGGCGGGCAGCGGCGTGCTTGCCCAGGAAGCCCCCTCCAGAAGCCACTAAGTGACCTGGCCTCCGGAGCTATCCTACCTTTACCACGGCAAAAAGGCCAAAGGAGGCAGCTCTAAATGCCTCGGGAGCTGCAGGTGGGCAAGCAGCACTCTACCTTGATGGCTAGTCCAGACAGTTCTGCGCTGTCTGGCACCGGTGGCAAGTCCAGCCGGACATCCATGTCGTACGTGCGAGTGTGCACAAGGGCTCCGAAGAGCGAGACCCGGGTGTCTCTCTCAAACCTGTCACCACAGGGGTCACCATATGAGAAGAGCCCAACAGAGGGCAGGCCAGTGCCGGGCGGGGCCTCCATCACCTGAAGTGCTTTGTGGATCATGTCCTGACACAACTGCTCCTCTCTGGAGATCAGAGACTGAACGTCCATCTCAAACACACTCAGCTCACAGCAGTCGTAGCCTCCGTAGGGAACGTTCCTCCCAACGTGCTTGTTGTTGAAGAAGTAGTCCCGGCGGCGCCGCAGGACTTGAGGGGGCCCGGTCCCGGCCAGCCGAACCAGGAGGTCCAAAACTGACCCCACCTCCGCGAGCGGACAGCAAGGCGCTGCGACCAGTGTCTCCACAAGCTCCTCCAAACGGTCGGCCTCGGGGCCCAGGCCACCTACCCTCAAGTCAAAGGACAGCATGAGCACCTTGTTTTCCACCGGGAGCTTTGCGAGGTCAGGCTGCAGCTTCCGAGTCTCATCTTGGAAAAGATTCGTGAAAAGAGCATTGTAGGCCACCCTCTTGAGGCTCCGCTTTGCCCTCTGCCGACTCACGCGGCGCTGACCCAGGTGAGCTTTCGCGCGTGGCAGGAGGGCCTCGCACAGGTCGTCGAACAGCTGGGTGATGCTGGCCATGCCCGCCCCGCGGCAGCCCCGGTGGGCGGGAACGTCTCCCCGGGGCTGCACCGGCCTCTGAAAGCCAGGGAGCGGGCCACGCCCGCGGCTCTGACCTGGTCTTTTAACGGCGGTCGTGCGGCGGCTCCGCCCTCCCCAGCC